GTCCTTTTGACAGTCCAAAAGTTTGTTAGGAACATTGTTGATGTAATTCACCTAATATAAATTTGTATCGGAAATGTAGGTATATAAATTCTACGTCATAAGCTCCTAGTAGGGTAAAAGTAAACATTTCGGTAGAAACAAACTATACAATGACTGAAAAGCCAAGTTAGTGAGATCTATAGGTTCTGTCTTCCGTAGCCAGAGACCACATTCTCGTGAGTTTGGATAAACATGTCTATAAAAATATTTTTATGTGAGAGAACATAGCACGATTTTACTTAGACTTTTTTAAAGTCCCTTTTGATACAAACGATTAGACTTGTGTATTTTCTAGCTTGTTCTAAATAATCAATGGCCTAACATTGAAACATGACAATCCACTTTAATATTATGTAAAATAAAATATTCGACGTTTCTAAATGTTAACTATTAATTGTGTGGACATATCCCTTATAAACTTATAGGTATTAAATATATATCATAGCTAGTGACAATCTGTTCATGTGATGTTCTTATTTTTGTATTGTATGTACCTACATAGAACTGTTCGTTTTGTTTACTTGCAAGAGATTGTTTAGCTTCAAGCTTTAAAGTTTATATCTAACGGTATGTTAAATTAAAGATTAAGGATAATAATTATAAATTATATTATAATCAAAATTGTCACTGAATATATCTAAAACTTTTAGAAAACACAGTAGCCTTTGATTTAGATGAAAATCAAGTCTTTTGGTTGACAGTACTTAACTGACAACTTGTCAGCGACAAGCCAACTGGGTTTTTAAAAAAATTATACGAAATAGTTGCACAATTTTGGATGAATTTAATTATAAAATTAAATAATCTAATAATTCGACAATCTTGTAGGTGTACCTAGGTATACCTACTAGCTAATTATACAATTAAACTCATTAAAATGGTTCATTTATCTTAATTATAGTTTGACATTGTCAAATTGACAAACCTTTTATAGAGACTTTATTGATATGTTATTGCTGTGCTCGAAGCATGTTTGTTAACGCAGGTATATTGTGAGTGTTAGTTTCTATATCAAAATAGATATTTAACTATGTTAAATTCTATATTTAATAAGATTTATTAATGTTTATCAAAGTAAAATTATTTTGTTACATAACAAATTGATATCCATAAATGTGTTGTTTATATGTAAAAGCTGACTATGAAATAAAAATACTTGATAAATGTAGTTTGCTTACTTATTTTTTAACCTTTTTTATTAAAATTATTATTAAATAAATGGCGAATGCGCCGGGATTAAAATAAAAAACACTTAAAACCATGCAGGAACAAAGCTATTAGAATTTAAGACAGCTACAGTGCACAGTGTGTTAAATTAATTATCTAGCTAGACAAAACCTAATTTTAAAACAACCTGAAATTAAAACAAATTTAATTAAATAAGCTTCTTCAGTTCTCCCTGTTATGATTTCCATTAATTAGAACGTACTGCAACAGTGTATTCAGCACTATGCAGGCGTCAGTTCCGGGCGTATCATTTTTTATAAATATAGGTACTTAGCCGTGTATGTGTTGCAGAAAGGTGGAGTGATTTTAACATTGTTTCAAGTTAAATCAAATTTTGAACTTTGCCGCTATGAATCTAGGTATATATTACTTATTTTTTATAATTAGGGATTTATAATATCAGTAATCAGCAACAGGCTATATATATAGAAATTCACTTGGTGTTGTTAAATATGGACAATATTTATTAAGCAAGAAGTATTGTAATCGAGCAATATCGGGTGCACTATCAATATTTGTTTTGTTTTATAACGTCTAAAGATTACTTATGTGCCTTTATTTCTTGCCCCAATTTGCCTCTTCTACAGGGTGAAACCAAAAACCGGCTCACTCCTTTTTTACTATTAAATTTTAAAATAGAGTTGAAAGGGGGTAGCGGGTTAAGGGGGGTCTGGCGGCCCCCACCGAATCTGGTAAAATCATTCCAAAAATCTTGAAGAGGGTCGAAAAATAAGCAGTATAAGCTTTTTACCGACATTACAACCCCAAACGAAAACACAGTAATGGCGAAAAATATGATTTTTTGTGATTTTTATTTTTTTCAACCAGTTTAATTTATTTTTAAATGGTTTAAACGCAATTAAAAATTTGTTTTGGATGTATGGTAGTCCCCTGAATTTTTTCAGATTTTTTGGTCAAGTAAAAACGTGAATTTTAGGTTTAAAAGCAAAAAAAATCGTGAAAAACGCGTCATTTTCAAGATTCAACCCTCTAATTTTTAGGGTTGTTTTCATTTTCCCGAGGGGTGCTTTATAGTATAGATAGCGGCAATCGTCCTCTTTTAAATGCAGGCAACTGGACTCAATTTGGTCAATTCTGGTGAGCGGGGCGATTTTTTGAAAAAAACTCGAATTTTCAACTTTTGGTAAATTACGGCGCGTACTTGGTATAATGCGTCTTTAGCAAAGACTCTTTGCTATAAAAATACATCTCTATAGGGGTTTTTGAGGTCGCTGATCACGAAGTTGATGTCAAAAAAATTTTTTGACAACAAATTCACCCATAAATATTTATTAACACAGGTTTGATAATGTAAAAAATATCATTGAATCACAGCATGTAAACAATTTTAATATCGTGTTCAACTAATATAATCAATGAAATTAAATTTTCTGGTATAAATCATATTTTATTCAAGCTTACGTAATAGTCACACAGTAATATAAAATAGCATAATAGGTACTTTTTTACAGAGCTAAGTTAACAATTTTACAGTTTTAATCCTCGTCACTATCTTCTTCAATAACATATTCAACGCTTTGAACAGAGAAAAGATTTGTGAGAATCTGTGCTGGACGAATAATTCGCGACAAATATCTTTGTTGTCAAAAAAATTTGTTGACAACAAATTCGTGATCAGCGACCTCAAAAACCTCTATAGAGACAGGGCCGGATTAAGACAATTTGTCGCCCTAGGCCAATAATGGCGCCTATAATTACAGCCTATATAAGATATTAATATAACACAACACATGTTAGCCGACAGGGGTGTACATAAGGGGACAAGTGGGGTTTTATAAAAAAAATTAAAAAAAAATAAATAAAAAATAATTTATTTTTATATAGAAAAACAAAACAATGATGAACTAACTTAATTTTTACAATTTTAAAATAACCTAAAACAGAATTTTACCTATATCATTTCGTCGTTGATACTGCAAAAGGTAACTTTGACGCCTTTCTGCACAAGGGAACCAACCAACAAAAATAAAAAAAATCGATTTTTTTATTTTTGTGGGTTATATCCGAGGTTATTTCTCTTCTGCAGGCGTTCAAGTGAAACGATTTTTTTCATTATCAACGACGATTTACAATTTTTTTCCTGCATTTAAAATCGGAAAAGGTCACAATAATATTTTCAAAATTTATTTTCTTGACTTCTTCTGCTTCTATAGATGGAAGAGCTAGATTCGCAGTCTTCTCGTCTACTAGGCAACTGCGAAAAAGATGTGCTTTTAAAATAAAAGGCCATGGCCTAGGTTGGCCTATAGGTTAATCCAGCACTGTATAGAGATGTATTTTTTATAGCAAAGACGCATTATACCAAGTAAGCGCCGTAATTTACCGAAAGTTGAAAATTAGAGTTTTTTTCAAAAAATCGCCCCGCTCACCAGAATTGACCAAATTGAGTCCAGTTGCCTGCATTCAAAAGAGGACGATTGCGGCTATCTATACTATACAGCACCCCTCGGGAAAATGAAAACAACCCTAAAAATTAGAGGGTTGAATCTTGAAAATGACGCGTTTTTCACGATATTTTCGCTTTTAACCCTAAAATTCACATGTTTTTACTTGACCAAAAAATCTGAAAAAATTCAGGGGACTACCATACATCCAAAACAAATTTTTAATTGCGTTTAAACCATTTAAAAATAAATTAAACTGGTTGAAAAAAATAAAAATCACAAAAAATCATATTTTTCGCCATTACTGTGTTTTCGTTTGGGGTTGTAATGTCGGTAAAAAGCTTATACTGCTTGTTTTTCGACCCTCTTCAAGATTTTTGGAACGATTTTACCAGATTCGGTGGGGGCCGCCAGACCCCCCTTAACCCGCTACCCCCTTTGGGAGCAATAATAAAGAGTTAATTTGTAATTATTTCAACCTTCAATGGATACCACAAAACTTCCGGTTTCCCCGGAAATAATGCCAAATTTTGTTTTTTCAATGAAACCCTATGCATATCTTTGCATATTTCAAATCAGGAGAAAATTTTGAATTCGATACTTACACTTTCAGGGGAATTTTATAATGATCTTAATTTTTTTTGTAATTTAAGTTTTCCATAAGTGTAATTTTCGTAGAAAACACTAACCGAATTTTTATGACATTGGTTGGTTTTGATTGGGGAAAACATATGTATTTAAAAAAACATTAGCAGCCACTCTGATGGTATTTAAAAAGTTGAGTTAATTAAAAAAACAATTTATCAGCAACATTTACTATTTATGCATTTTACTGCAAATTTGGATGGTAAAACTAATTGATTCTCCAAATTGCAGCTTTCTGGATTGAAAACTAAAACTGGACAAAAATTCAAGGTCAATTGCAAAATGGTAGCGAATGTGCATTTATCGGATTCAAAATTTTCTCCAGATTTCAAATATACAAAAATATACAGGGCGTTTCTTTGGAAAAATGAAAGTTGACCAATTTTCGACGAAGCCGAAAGTTTATTTTTTATCACAAGGCGCCGGCCATTTTGTAATTAACGAATTTAATTTCTGCATTTTGGATGTCAGATTTGGATTCAGTGAACCCAAATACCCCGCTTCCAAAGAAAATTTATAATTTTTTATGTCATTTAGGTTTTGTCTAGCTAGATAATCAATTTAACACACTGTGCAATGTAGAGACATTTTTGTATAACAATTACGTTTGTTGGCAACATTGAATGACGTGTTAATTCACACTAATGCAGTGATTTTATTCTTATGTTGGTATCAAAGATGTTCTTTTGTTGGTATCATTATTTGTCAAAAATAACCTCAAAATCGCCGTAAAGTTGTTTATGTCCATTTTTTCGTTTACAAAAGTTTAAATAAATCTGCAAAAATGGAGGTTATTGTTGCTAACGTTGAACATATCAAGTTTGATATAGAAGTTGCTCTAGATGAACAGTTTGGAGCCCTACCTCTTCCATTTCCAGGAATGGACAGTATGTAGCCATTGATATATAATTTATGTTTTCTTATATGCTTTTGATTGCAGAGTCAATTGCAGCAGTGTGCCAATTTTACACATCAATGGTAGGATGTCAAAAAGGCCCTCAATGTCCATTCCGCCATGTTCGTGGTGATAGAACTATTGTGTGTAAACATTGGCTCAGAGGGTTGTGTAAAAAAGGAGATCAATGTGAATTTTTGCACGAGTACGACATGACTAAGATGCCTGAATGTTATTTCTACTCCAGGTTCAATGCTTGTCATAATAAAGAATGCCCCTTTCTCCACATAGATCCAGAAAGTAAAATTAAAGATTGCCCATGGTATGATCGTGGATTTTGTAGGCATGGACCACACTGCAGGCACAGGCACGTAAGAAGAGTACTTTGTACAAACTATTTAGCTGGGTATTGCCCTGATGGTGCCGACTGTAAATATATGCATCCTCGATTTGAGTTACCTGCACCTCCAGACCAAAATATCAAGGATCAAAAGAAAACTCCTGTTATAATCTGTCATTTTTGTGGGGAACATGGACATAAAGCCATCCATTGCAACAGGATAAACAATGAAAATTCCAATAACAGAGATTGCATGGAGAATAATGACAGGAGGGGCTATGGAAATGATAATCATTTCGATCCACAAAACACATTCCTACAGAAAATGCTTCCAAAGAAGATTGAAGATGTTACTTGCTTTAAATGTGGAACTAAAGGTCATTACGCCAATAGGTGTCCAAAAGGACATTTGGCATTTTTATCCCAATCAAAAAATAATCAAGATCCCGCCCAAAATGATGTTTAATTGGTATTTTATTCTTGTTTGTAAAAGTAAAATATTTTAAGTTTTAATTTGAATTGTCAATTTCTCATAAAAATATTAATTTACTTTAAGTGATTTTTGTACCCTTTAACATGATTTAGGTAGTAACCTAAAATATTAAAATTTACCTTCTTTCTATAGAAAGTTGTTTTTATCGGAAGTGATTAACCAAATTAGAAAACTGCATTCTATGAAGTGCTCTGATTGGTTTATTGCTTTCTAGATTTTTTATAGAAAGAGAAAATTTTCAAATTTCTAGAAACACCCCTTAGAACATTTGTCCATAAAAAAGTTTCTAATGCTTTTTAAGATTTTTTTTGTTACTATAATGATGGTTTCTTTTTCAGTTTAAATACTATTTAATAATTGCATTTGTGGTAAATGGACTTGGTTTATTATAAATTATACTTTCTTGTATTTCTCTATATTGCTAACAATTTTACCACATGCCTTAGTTTTAATGGGTAAAATAAAATACAAGCACAAAGGAAACAATTTATTATTATCATATTTATATTTTTGTAATAGGAAGATGGTATATAATCATAGTTTTTGTTTACTTAACTTAAAACTAATATATACAAATAATATTAAAAATACAAAACAAAATAAAGCACCTAAAGTAATTTTGCCTTTTAAAATTTGTAAATTAAAATATTTACTAATATGTTTAAACAACACTAAAATCAAACCAACTTTGTATGGTTACATAGTTTAAAAAATTATATTATTCCACCTTAAAAAGTGGAATACTAGTCTGTCAGTTTATATAGAAAATATAGACTGCCATTTTCAGAAAATGTTTACATTATATTTTAATCACTTCTGAAAGGTTTTATATGAATGTGTTTATATACAAGTTCACATCAATTTAAATTAAAATAATTTTGTCATTAAATAATCAACGTTATTTAATTACAGTGGGAAAAGATTAAAATAATCTTTTTATGGGTGATGTATGTATAAAATATAAATAATGTTAATAAATATTTTTAGGAAAATACATTAATACTTATCAGATAAGCTGATAAATATTAATTTTAGATTATTTTATTTAATGTCTTTTTCTTTTGGACAAATTTTTTTTATTAAAAAAAAATTAGGATACCTTGCATTATGCATGTAAATATTTAGATTTTTTTTTAATTTTAAAATAATTTAAAATTAAAAAATTTACTTAAAAAAATTGAACATGATAAAATAAATTTTTCTACTCCTATTGCATATTATTGACATTATTTGTTTGTTTCCATGTAATGGTAACCATTATAACCGCACCCCCTAACAACAGGAATAATGAATTCATTATTCACGTTGCTAGGCATCAGTAATTGGCTGACTTCAATATTTACTGTGATTTGAACCAATCAGGGTTTAAATTGGAAAAAAGTGAGGTTTTAACTTTCTTACAGATGTCAAATTTTACACGAGGGGTGACTATAATGATCATTAAAATCGGGAGAAAGTGAGATTAAAATAAGTTTTGTTATTAAGGGGTTACATACATACATATGAGCTCGTAAAAAATTAAAGGTTTTTGGTGATTTTTTTTTGGTATATAATAATAATTATATTAAAACGAACTATAAAGGATCGAATAGGGTATGTTTCGAAGTATTTGTAAAGAAAAATTATGCGAAAATATGGAAAATACGGCCCTTGTCCCGAAACGCTTTTTTTTAAGCCTTTGCGGTGAGCATGAAATATCGACAACCGCCCAACAGATCTTAATGAAAAAAAACATATTAGTATACTAATACTATCTATAGATAGTATCAGTGGCGGCTTACCTACTAATTTTTGTACGTTCTCCTATTTTTCATGCGAGAAACTGAATTTTCGTGTTTCCTAGCCCTCTCTGCGATGTGTTTTAAATCATCTAACCCATGTTTATTCCACGCACGTAATTTATTTTTTTGAAAATTAACCACATAAAACAAAAAAGCTTATTGGTTACTGAACATCCACATATCCACTCGTATTTTTCATAGATATTTCTATTGAATACTCTATTGTAAGTTCGGCCTTTACTTGCGGAAGTGTAGTGTATTCGATGATCGGGAATATTTAATTAAAATTTTAAGTTTATCTTCAATTGACATCGGGCTTTTGAAAAGATTTTGCACACAACTTACTTCCGCAAAAACAAAACACGTAATTCACTTAAAACTTAAAAAACACAACGGTGCGCGGCGACAAAAAAGTTAGAAATCAAACACAGATACCAGCTGAGATGTTGAAGAGACACTGCGTTCGGTGCCCCAAATTGACGATATATTCGCGTACCGAGAGGATAACCGAAGATCACCGAATCACACTCGGAATAGGTATATTTCAAACTGTGCCCTGCGGCGCGCTCGGAATGAAGGTTTGAGACTATCCTTAAATAGTAATTACAATGGTGTTACGTACAACTAAAATAATGCACAATGCAATAAGTAACTTTTATCTCCACGCGGTCTATAATTCAAACTTTATTGTTGTCAACATTCGATAAAGAAATACCTTTTTATGGCCTAGGCCGATAAAAAATTTAGTTTATGAGGCAAGTAATTAGTTCGATTTTTTCTCGCTAGGGGTATTGTTTTGACAAATTAATCCTTTTCTAAGATATTAACGTACTAAACTGGTTTAATTTATTTATAATAAGCACTAATTTGTTTGGTTTACTGTTAATGTTTAATATTTTTCATTAAATTATTATAAAATTAAATATGAATAATAAAACAAAAAGTGAGGTTAGGCAACCAAGAAAACGCACGATTCTTTTTCTACGATTTAAATTATCTTTAAGATTTAATTTGCTTTAAGTTTTCAGTGAAATTAAATGTTAAACACAGCTTCAACATCCCAAACTACATATTTTTAAAATAAAACTCCAAACAAATTGAAATTGAATTAAATGTAATAGCAAAAAATCATTTCCACTTAAATCATGTTGCTAGGTATTGTCAAACTATTACTGCTTCTAAAAGCTATAATAATTATTGTACATTTAATGTAATCTTTAGCTAATAAATAAATGAGATTCTAAAAAAGTAAGGTTAGGCCGCTTCGATGTTGAATTAAATTGACCTATATAAAGTGCTTTGAAGATAAAATGTTGTATGCCATTCGGCCAAGAAGTGCCTTTTTGTGCTTCGCTCAATTGTAGGCCTCCGCTATGCGTCGGCCTTCAAACCTTGAGCTTAGCACAAAAGGCCTTACTTCTTAACCTAATGACATAAATAACTATTATTACTTTTTATCTGGGCGGTTGGGTGGGCACGTGCCCTTGTGCCCTTTAGAACCAGCCGCTACTGGATAGTATCACCCCCTTCGTAAACGAAGGGTTTCACAAAAAAAATGTTCACGCAAATGGCGGTGATTTTACCAAAAAAATCTATTTTCAAGGGTACAAAAATGGAGTTTTCCGGCCGAAAAAAAAATAGAAATTTTCGTCCAAATAAAAATCCCTTCGGTTTGGTTTTCGAGAAGTCCTGCTCACGGCAACGGCACTTAAAAAAAGATGATTTCGAGATAAACGCGTTTAAAGTTTTAAGTTTAATTTGCCATTAAATTTTCGTGAGGTAGCGCGCTATTAATTTTGAGTACATATTCTTAAAAGTATATGTTGTAAGAATATTTAATAAAAAATATCGATTTTTTGACCCAGCACAAATGTATGTAACCACTTAATGAAAATTACTTAATTGGAGTAGAAAAAGCATGGTTATACACTCGAGATAATGCGCATTATCTCTCGTATATTAATATACTATTAAACACATGATATTAGGCCAATAACTTGTAGTTTTTTAAATCCAAATCGAGCGTGAATTTAAAATAAACGAATTTTTACTTTACAATAAAATTACAGCCTTTTTAAGTAAAAATCCGTAGCATAATGACAACTATGATGTCTTAACCCAGCATGACTGGGAAAAATTGCATTATTGTATACCTATAACAGAATAAAAAATTATCAACAAATTTCACTAATAGATGTGAGTTCTTTGAATAATTTGAAAAATTTAAAAAGTTCCACTGAGCATTACTTTAAATTAAAAGGTGCACACTAACGTCGTGTTGGCGTTGTCACTGCACTTAATTAATAATAATTTATCGTTGCTGAGTGGGCTGCGGAGATTGGCGTGCCTGGCCGCAGCTATTTGTCGTGGACGGACTGTTGCCGTTGCCGGCTGACAGCTTCGAAAATGCCAACAGCGTGTCGGGAAAATTGGGTGGCGTGGCCGGTGTGTTACAAGGCGTCATCACCTGAATAAACAAAATAGTAATTTATGCAACAATATAAAGCGACACTTCTTGCAAGGATCAAGTACAATTTGTACATTTAGATATAGGACTAGGGTTGCAACTTTTCATGAAAAGTTGAAATTTTTGAAAAGTTGGGTTTTATTTTTCGGAAAAGTTCGGAAAAGTTGAGTTTTTTGTAATGTAAAACATAAATAATGCTTGTCAATGTATTAAAATAATTTATTTCTTATGTATTTATACATATGTAACAAGTTGTTTTATAACAAAAAAAATAACAAACAAAATAAAATGAACAGACAACATAATCACAACAAAAATTAACTAGGTTTGAGTTAAAAAAATCATATTTTTTAAGTAAAAAATAATAGACATTTATACACACCATAAAAAAACACATACGAAATAAAAAATAACTACAAAAAAATATGAAGCAAAAATTATTAAATTTATTGTTGTTAAAAATTACCAAAAATACCTTATTTTCTACCGATTTTCACTTCGGTACATTTTAGTTTATTTTTTTAATGAGTTTTACTCCTTGTTTTTTTTTCAATTTTAAATATTTATCTTATTATGACGATATAGTTCAAAATACGTGACCCAAATATTCTTATTGGGTAAATTTTAGCAACTAAAATACGTTATAATAAAACAATCTTTATATAATAGAAAATGCTGTTAGCAGACACCATTTTTGATAAAGTTTTTTTTTCATAGGGGGTGCCGAACTTTTCCAACTTTTCCAACTTTTCGACCGAA